TAGTTTTCAAATCCTATAAGATTTTTGATGGACCACCATGTGGTGTATCTCAAGGGGCAACTCTATCGCCTACACTGCTTAATATACATATAAACCAAATTAATTACTTGAATACACACGGAAAACTAGTTTTCTACACAGATGATACAGTACTTATTGTTGAATGCCAATCCTGGGATGAAGTATTTTCTAGTTTTCAATCCGACATGAGTAATGAGCAACACAATAATGGCTATATTAAAATAATTTATTCCAAAACTTAGAAGAAACCTACATATTACCACACTATATAGTTTATTTGAATCAACCAAATTAAACAAATCTATGTATACATGAGAATAACTGTTCAAATCAAAATATAATGTGTACATGCCCAGTGTCGGCCTGGTACCTAAAGGGCCCCGGATGCATTTCTTCAGAAGGGCCCCCAAAAATGTTTTTTCATAAAATTATTAAAAATGTACTTATAAGTAGGTAGTGTAAAATATTATAATTTTTTAAAGGTACCATATATAAAATTAACCATCCATTAAGTTAAGATTTAAGTTAGATTAATAATTTATTATTCTAAACAATTTTTTACATATTACATAATATAAATAATACCTTCTCACATTATACAACTTAATATTTTTTTAATGTGATTCAAATTCAAAATTAATTGTGCATTTGGTTTTCTTTATATCAGTAATTTTTTTAGTTCACTAGATGAGTTAGCAATCGTACCTATCAATCAACTCATCTGAGTCAATCAAAATATCCTTTTCAATGGACATTAGCATTAATGGATTAAGATGTTCTTGGGGTAAAGAAGACCGAAGTTTAGTTTTGATTATTTTCAGCTTTGAAAATACTCTTTCACAGGTAGTCTGTGTTGATGGTAATAGCAACACAAATTTATATAATGTGAACAAATTACAAAATAAATTAGATTGACATGACAGCTCTTGGAGCAAAATCAATGCAAAGTGAAGACATTTAGTGCATTTGTCACAATTAATTTGTTCGGTGGGTTTAACTTCAATATCTTCATCTTCATCAATATATATAATTTTAGAAGATTTAGATTTAATATCGTGAAAATCATTTTCAGATACATCTGGTATGAAATTACTATACTGACAAGTGACAAGCAAACTGTTTTAGCTCAATTGCAATGATCTCTTTGTCTAAATCTGCTAATTTAGGTACATATTGTGTTCAACGAGTCCTTGGCAAATTGTTCAAGTTCATTAATAAAAGCAAATATTTTAGGATCCAGCCAATTTAAATCTTTTAATAACATTTCATTAGGTACAAATCGTGATTTTATGCTATTAAGAATAGTATCTATAATAGAATAAGCATTTGACTTAAATTTTGTGTAAGGTGTTATAATTCTAACTTCATCTGAAGACTTATTTATATTTCTGAGTACGGTCGGGGGCGGGGGCCCCCGAACTCAAATACGGCCGAGGGCCCCGGACGCGTTTGCGGCCTAGCGGCCAGGGCCAGGCCGACACTGTACATGCCAATTTTGCAAACCTTGGTAAAAATAGTTAAAAACTGTAAATATTTAGGCATTGAAATGTGTCATAACCTTAAATGGAATGAACACATAAAATGTGTTACAAATAAATTAAGAAAACTTATGTATGCATTTAAAAATTTAACAGATATCTTATAACTTAATCTAAGACAATTAGAGTAGTGTATCAAGTATCAATAGAATCCATAATTAAATATGGTATTTCTATATGGGGCGGGGTATATTTGATACAACTATAGATCCATTAAAAAAATTACAAAATAAAATACTAAAAATTATCCTAAAAAAAAACTCAAGATACCACACAAAATATTTATACAATGACATGAATCAGAATGTGTTACCAATAAAAAAAACTGGGTAAAAAGGGTGGGTAATTTGCATAATTAAAAATAACCTTACTTTTAAAACACGAACATAATACTAGACAAATATCTAATATCAAAGTACCAACTATGCACAAAAAATTAACACAATCCACATACTTATATATTGGTTCAAAAATGTACACTTTACTACCATTAGAAATTATATACAGCAACTTTTTAAAGATTCTTAAGAAAGAAAAATTACACTTTGGCTATTACAAGAACAAAATATAGACAGACTCTCACAACAAACTTAGAGGATTCCTGCATTATTTATCATATTAGTTGTATGACTTGAGTAGTTATTAGATTATGAGCGGAGCGATGAATGTATTGATTTTACAATGATAGGATATGTTTTTTATTTTTTTATTTGTGTCTGTGTACACAATATGTAGTCGAAATAATGCTTCGATTTTCAACTTCAGTATTATGTTTGATGAGAAAGTGAATCTAGTTGGTGCATTAGGGGGGTTACAGTAATTTTTAAAAGCGACGAGAAAAACAAAAAAAAAAAATTAAGGAAAAACGGGAATTTTCATGCAAAACAGGTTTTTGACAAAATCTGATTACGGTAACTTAGTGTATCTCTAAAACAAACGACCTTATAGAGATGACATTTTCACTAGTTGTTTATATTAGCATTTTCTATACACCATACAATTTACAGTTTCCAATTTTTTTTCCTATGAATGTCATTAAAATTATATTTGTTGGGTGAAAAAGCTTGACAATTTAATACAAGGATTGGATACAATATTCCTAGCTTTTAGTTTTAATTGTATATTTGTATGTATTGACAGTATTCATAATTGAACTATGTCCATTAGAGTATATTAATCAATTGATGAGTAATATATTAATATAGCCAATATACATAATATAATATTGAACAAAACCATGAAAATTTAAATATGATTAAATTTGGCGGGCTGTAGACCATTGACACAATTATGTAATAGTTTATTTTTATTTTTTTTGTTATGTCATGTTAATTTACATACATTTATTTGGTTCAATATGTATAAAATATACATACACTATTGGTAATAATTAAATTGTATATTAATTTACAGTGCTAATGATGATTATGTATTTAGAGGATCTTCTGAATTTTTACGTTCCTTCATTTTCACCTACTCGTGTTACAATTTTTAACCATCATGAAAACCAGAAGAATATTGTTGTCAGTCCCACTACATATTTGTTAATGTAGGTATGTACTTTAGATAATTATTTTGCAATTGTTTTTGTTTATTATTTTAATTACAATTTAGATATAAGAATGATAATATATTTTGTAATACTATTTATTTTTTAGTTCAGTAGAGAACACTTATTATGATATTGTGGCTAAACACTTAAATGCATTAAACAATATTTCTCCATCAGCAGCTATTTAATTTAATCATAATAGTAATTATTATCCCACTAAAAACACAGAAACTAGTCACGGTGAACAAAATAGACTTGTTCGTAAAAAGTTTGTACTATATTAATTATTATTTAGTAATTGTATAATAATATAATATTCTTAAAAATATTATTTCTAATCACGGTTTTTTTTTTGTCTAGGTTATTTAGTTTTACAGGAAGTGAAAACGAGGAGAACTCGAAAAAGTCGTCATCGAACAAGAGCAGTAGCGTGGTGAATGGGGTTTTATGAAGTGGTTTTTTTGGTTGGGTGGGTTTTTGGGTACATTATGGTAATCAATCACATACAACAAAAATTAAAATATTTACAGTCAAATAATAATTATATGTACTAAATATTCAACGGAGACAACAAATGCCCGTGTTACATCCTCTTAATTATTAAAACTGGCAGTTCAAATAGTTTGATTGAAACACACATCCCACTCCTTCCAAATGAACACCATTTCAAATGACTGTGAAACTAATTAAACTAACTTACTAATTAAATGTACAAAATTTAATGTCATTCCTGTGTTTAGTAAAATTATAGCAGAAAGACTCAGAAGTATACACTATTATTTCACCCACCTACCCACCCAACTTTCAAGGCAGTTATTAAATTGAACTAGAAATCAAAATTGAAAAATGCTTTAATTTGTAAAATATTTTTATTATTATATTGCAACAAATATTTCATCAGTCATTACTATAATATTGTTATTTCATAAATAAAAATAAGTGTATTAACTTACAGGCAAAGGTTTTAATTGAGAAAATATTTGTTCACAATAATTATTTTCAAACTTGGCTCTTTGATCTATTTCATGTTTTAGTGCCATTTTGGTTAACTTTAATTTGTTAAGTAAGAATGGAGATTCTTGGCATGGTTTATTACTATTATTTCCAGTACAGGTCACTGAAAAGAAAAAATATAGAATTATTAGCAACTCAAATTTAAGAACTATATTTTAATTACAGCTTAAAAGTATAGGTAACTCACCTGTTTATACCCTCAATAAGAATTTTTTTTGAGAAATGTTTAAGTTTATTTTTTAATTCTCCTTTTTCTGTTTCTAGTGAATCAATATCTACTTGCAAATGGTCCATCGTTTCTTCTTATTCTTTTGACTTTCTTTTTAATTGCTGTTGTGTTTAATCCAATTAATATAAAACAAACATTTTCTAATAAATAATATATTTTTAACTATTTTTCCATATAATAAATATTTTAATTTATAGTTAATCTTAAAGTCAAGCATTTCTGGTATTGATGACCGAACTTCATTTTTTGATGCAGATTCTCTCTATAATTTAGTTTGTAGATCTTGATTTTGTTCTCTTAGGTCATTAACCAGACCTTTAAATTTTACAATAACCAAATTCCGATCAGCTAAACTTTCCAGTGCTTGTTCTTTTTCTTTGACACACTTTAAAATAAATATGACTTAGGTAGGTATAAATAAAAATAAAATGTTTGCTATTAATACTATTTAAAACCTCTCTAATATTAGCATTTGCCATGTCTAATTCTTTACGTAATTGCATTTTAAACTCTGTACTATCTTCTTGGAGTTGATCATTAATATCTTTTATCGCTTCTAGATCAGTCACTGCTTTCTCTAATTCTACCACTTTATCTTCCAAATTCAATTTTTGTTAACCTAGAAGCTCAACTTATTCCTCTTCTCCTAAAGCTGCATCAACCTATAATATAATAATATATTAATACTTGGAAACTATCTATTTAAAAATTAATATATAAACTGTTCATGCAAATCATTAACTTGAGATGCTAGTTCTTCATTAGACTTTTGTAAATCATTAAATTGTTTGGTCATTTCTTCGATTTCTCTTTGTAAGATTTGTGTTTGGTGTTTCTCGTAGGCGGATAAGTCTCGTAATCTAAAGTTTCAATAAGTGTCAACTAAATAGGAATCAATCAATTTTAAACAACAATAATAATATAAAAGCATCTTATACTTGAATAGTGTATCTCTAAGACGTACATTTTGTTGTTCAAGTTGCTTGACTTTGAAAGAATTGGCACCATCTCCTCCCTCTTCACTTACATTTCCTTTCTCAAACTCAGCCTTTAAGAGTTCTAAATCTACTGTTAATTCCTCAATACGCTCTTTTGCTTGGTCTAATTCTAATTGAAGTGTTTCTGCTTTCACTTCAGCCATTTCCAAAGTCTCCGCCATTTCATTATACTCGTCTTTTTCTTTTAATGCATCTTGTTTTTCCATTTTAACTTTTTCTAATTATTTTTTTAATGCTGATTGAGATTCCATAATTTTAATTTTAAATTCTGCTGCTTGATCCAGCTGCAATTTCATCATGTAAATATCATCTCAAGCAGTACATAATCATTAAATGATCTATCACGTCCAATTGTATACAAATGATAACAAATACCAGGTCTTACACGACCTGCTCTACTACGACATTGTCTACAATTAGCTAAGCTAACACATTCTTCATTAAGAGGTCCAATGTTATTTTCTGCATCGAATCCTTTTAATTTCTTCCGGTCATTATGAATAACATAAACTACATCGTCTATGGTAACTGAAGTCACTGCTATGTTTGTGGATAATATGATCTTACGAAAACCTATTATAATGCTAACATTAGACAAAAATGCGTTTAAAGAATTTTAATATTTAATGCTTACCCCGAGGCGGCGATTCAAAAACAGATTTTTGAGATACAGTAGGTGACATGGAATGCAAAAGAATCAGTATGCACCGAGCTACAAAATAAAAAAATTATATTTATTCCTGATGTATTTGAAAGCACATGGGAATTTTAAATTTTTACCTGTCATCCAACTAGATTCATTTTCCTTTCAGAAAATATACTGAAGTCTAAACCAGTTATGTGTTTCTTTGCAATTTAAATATGTTGAGGCCCTTTGTGTTATTGAAATTGGGTTGTTCCTCGGGTAAATTGTATTGCCTAAAAAATTAAAACTTTGTTAAAAATATGTCAGTGCACCATTTGTTTCTCTCTTTGAATAACGAGCAACATGCAAGTGTGAGTACAGTAGATCCAGTTTTGTACTGTTAGCTTTAATATTAGAATTATATGACATAATATTATTATAATCAAACTTAAAAGCAAATATATTTTTCAGGGTACCTTAAAGAGAAGCACTAAGCATTTATTTGTATTTTATTTTTAAAACAAGTTATGAATATTTTAATATTGTATGATATAATTATTTATATATTAATTTATTTTGACTAAACGGGCTGAGCCCTTTCGATATACAAATTTATGTCCACGCACACAATTACATATTATACAATGTGTCCCGTGAACAAGTGGGTACATTAGTTAGTAAAATAGCTTTAAAATAAAAACCTATAAACAATATTCTCACCTTTAAGTTTCATAACTCGCTCCAATGTGGTATGTATATAATTATCTTCAAGAAAGTCAACGTCTGAAAATTGTCAACACATTGGCTCTACTTAATAGTTTCTTGTATGTGGTAAATCATATATTTCAGTTTTGAAAACCATAATAAGTATTATCCACTGTATGAACTAAAAACGATAAACCACTAAGTAACTTTTGGCTTTGGCAAACATTTAAAATCGAAACTTGAGTAATATACTTATATAAGTGTGTGTGAATTAGACATTATTAAGTTTCTAAGGCTTTTCTGAGTGAATTAAAATCATCGACTGTAACGTCTCCTAATCTTTTATTTGTCTGTTCGTTTTCTTCAAACTCATTGTTGGAGAAATATAATTTTCTGAAAATATAAAGTTGTAAAAAATATCTGAATACCTACCTAATTAATATTAAAACATTTTACCTCTTAGATGATTTACTAGTCGTGCTCAGAGTGGTACCAGTGTTGCCGTAAATTATTAAAATTTATTTTATATTGTTTATTTTACTCCTCTAAACAGACATGAGGTTTGGTTTGGATTATGTTTTGAGACAGCCTCTGGCCCAGGCACGTAGCCAGGGGGGGGGGGGCCTGGGTGGGCCGGGCCCACCCTAAATATACTCTGGCCCAGGGCCGGCCCCCCCAAATTCAAAATATAATTATTTTTACCAATTATCAAAAATGTGATTATGCACATTGAGAGAAATCTATTGTGATTACTATTAGGTAATACAATTATTATTGTAATAATTTAATTTTTATATTCGGGGAACCGTGGATAACTTTATCTGAAAAAAATACAATATAATAGGGTCTTGATACCCTTTTTAAAAACAATAATATATTAGCCGCAGTTATAAGTCTATGCTAAGTTAGCTTGCGAAAGAACTTTTTCATGTCTGAGACGACTGAAAACCTTTCTGAGGAATCGCATGACAAATGATCGTTTAAATAATTTAGCTTCAATGAGCATAGAAAAAAAAATTCTAAAAACTTAGATCTAGATATTTTTGTACAATTGATTTCAGAAAATCATAAAAACAGAAAAATTATTTTATATTGCACTGTTTAATATTTATATAACTATAAGTGTATTATTAATATTTTCTACTATACTCCGGCCCACGAGAGAGTATTACCGTTTTGCGCATGCAGACTGACGGCGGAGACCGTTCCGAGGCCCCATTTCCCCCACTTTTTCCGCGACCGCTATACACCGTATAGCGTTGAGAACTGCCGACCGGTACCGAACAGTTGTCGGCACATGCCGAATAGTGGGGAATGCGCGGAATCGGACGAGTTTTCGTCGGGCGACGGTAATACTCTCTCGTGGGCCGGAGTATAGTATGTGTTTTCTTTTTTTTTTTTTTTTTAATAAATTTGAGTTTCTTTAAAAATTATATTAATTTAAAAATCGATGATCATTTATCTCTATTATTTTTGATAAGTATTCAAATATGAATTAATTTTTGTTAATAGAAGTTAAACAATTGAAGCAGTTTATTATTTTAAATATTTTTTTTTTTTTTTTTTTTATTTTTAAACGTAATACACAATCTGTATCGACTAGACACAATAAGCATATTTGATGAAAGTTACAAAGAATGACATGGAAATTTGATGAAAGAAGCCATCCATCGATGGCACTTTCTATGGATTTTTTTTTTTTTTTATTTTTTGCTTATCTTAAGAGATCGCGACACCACTTACGCTTCAGGCGTCTAGGGGGATTACCAGGTATGGAAGGAGTAGATAAGTTTTTTATGAGTTCGTTAGGGTGGCTAATTAGTTTGGAATAGAATCTTTTATAATATATTTTGGCTTCGTCGTTAATTGTTTTGAGTTTGGTGTCAGTATGAAGGGTGTGATTAGACACGTAGGGTGGTGCATTCATTATTTTTCGGAGAGCGATATTTTGAAATGTTTGAATTTTCAGTATGTTAGACTTTTTAGCGTTTCCCCAAAGTTGGAGTCCGTATGTCCAAATGGGTTTGAGAAGTGTTTTGTAAATCAGAATTTTGTTTTTAATGGCGGTAGAGTTATTGCTTATTAAGGGTTTGAGGATACGGAGACGATGATTCAGTGCTAATCTTTTGATTTTGATGTGATGAGCCCAGGTTAACCTTTGGTCGAGAGTGAGCCCGAGATATTTGATTTTTGGAGAGTAAGGGATAGGAATACAGTATAGAAAAACTGTAGGACAGGAAGCATGTTTGAGGGTGAAGGTAGTATGTACAGATTTGCTTTGGTTTACTTTGAATCGCCAGTTAGTAAACCATTTTTCCATGTGGTTAAGGTGAGTTTGGAGATTATATGACGCTATGAATGGATCATTGTTAATAGATATTATTGCTTTATCGTCAGCGTAGTCAGCTACGGATGTATTGGGGGTAGTTGGTTGATCAGAAGCGAAGATATTGTACAGAATAGGAGACAAAATGCCCCCTTGGGGAACACCAGCATTGATAACTGCTACGTCAGATAACGCAGAACCGTAGCGTATTTGAAAATGACGATCTGATAGATAGGATTTAATAAGTAAGTAGTAGGTGGGAGGCATGAATTTCTTAAGTTTATACAAAAGCCCATCGTGCCATACGCGGTCGAATGCTTGTGAGATGTCTAAAAACACGCAATTGCAGAACAGTTTTTTTTCCAGGGAAAACGAAATAGAGTCTACGACTCTGTGTGCTTGATGAATAGTTGAGTGAGAAGCGCGAAACCCAAATTGGGTGTTTGGAAGAATATTTTTTTCAGTAATTATCGGGAGAATTCGTTTCAGAATTAACCGTTCCAGTATTTTGGCGAAAAAAGGGAGAAGGCTGATTGGACGGTGTGATGATGGTAGTTCAGGTGGTTTGTTTGGTTTTGGAAATAAGATTATAGTTGCGAATTTCCATAGTAGGGGAAAATAGGAAAGTCTGAGTGAAGCATTAAATATATGAGTGATGTGAACTATGGCTCTAGCTGGCAGGGATCTGACTACTACCGCAGTAATGCAATCATAGCCTGGTGATTTTTTTAGAGCATATTTTTGTATAGCATATTTTACATAATTAGGTGTAAATGACTTGACATGGTGAGAAACCGGGAGGGGGGTATTTAAGAACGTTTCGACTTGATTCATGTTTTCAACGTCTATGATATCGGCGTGTGGTTGAAAGGTATTAGCAAGATGATCCTTAAAAAGTTCAGCTTTTTCGATATCCGAAGTAGCTAAGCTACCATCTGATTTTTTAATAGGGAGATTTGGAGATTTATAGCGAAGTATTTGTTTTGTTTCTCTCCATAGGCTACCGTCTGTGGGAGTGAGTTTCATTAAGTGATTTTGCCATATGTTTGACTTAAATTCAATGAGCAGTTTTTTTAGTGAGTTAGCTAGTTGGTTGTAATTAAGTTTATGGGAAGGTAAACGCGTGCGCTGGTATAGAGCTCTTGCTCTTCTTTTTTCAACAATTTTGTTGCGTATGTATTCAGGAAGTGAGCTTGCAGAAGGAGGTGCTGGCATTGTATTTGTAGCCGACCATGCTGCAGTTTGTATTATGTTGGTAAGATTGAGGACCGCTTGGTCTATGTCATTGGGTGATTTTAATTTTGTGTTTAGCTTAATTTTTGTGTTAACTAGTTCATGAAATTTAACATGGTGTTTAGCAAGAATGTTATCATTATCATGTAATCAATTTAAAATACAGTCCACTGCACTTATCACATTTAAAAACTAACCTCCAATTTAGGAAAATGTGAATTATTGCATTGTCATTCCTAGTCGGGTTATGTCGCCGAGACAGTTATGTTTTTTTGTTGAACTGTTTAAATAAAAGGAACAAAACCTACATCATTTTT